ATTGGCAAAGAAGAAGTCAAACTCTCCCTCTTCGCCGATGACATGATACTCTACATAGAAAACCCAAAAGCCTCCACCCCAAGATTGCTAAAACTCATACAGCAATTTGGCAGTGTGGCAGGATACAAAATCAATGCCCAGAAGTCAGTGGCATTTCTATACATTAACAGTGAGACTGAAGAAAGAGAAATTAAGGAGTCAATCCCATTTACAATTGCACCCAAAAGCATAAGATACCTAGGAATAAACCTACCAAAGAGGTAAAGGATCTATACCCTAAAAACTATAGAACACTTCTGAAAGAAATTGAGGAAGACACAAAAAGATGGAAAAATATTCCATGCTCATAGATTGGAAGAATTAATATTGTGAAAATGTCAATGTTACCCAGGGCAATTTACACATTTAATGCAATTCCTATCAAAATACCATGGACTTTTTTCACTGAGTTGGAACAAATTATTTTAAGATTTGTGTAGAATCAGAAAAGACCTCGAATAGCAGGGGAATTTTAAAAAAGAAAACCATATCTGGGGGCATCACAATGCCAGATTTCAGGTTGTACTACAAAGCTGTGGTCATCAAGACAGTGTGGTACTGGCACAAAAACAGACACATAGATCAATGGAACAGAATAGAGAACCCAGAAGTGGACCCTGAACTTTATGGTGAACTAATATTCGACAAAGGAGGAGAGACTATGCACTGGAAGAAAGACAGTCTCTTCAATAAATGGTGCTGGGACAATTGGACATCCACATGCAGAAGAATGAAACTAGACCACGCTCTTGCACCATACACAAAGATAAACTCAAAATGGATGAAAGATCTAAATGTGAGACAAGATTCCATCAAAATCCTAGAGAAGAACACAGGCAACACCCTTTTTGAACTCGGCCACAGTAACTTCTCGCAAGACACATCCAGTATGCAAAAGAAACAAAAGCAAAAATGAACTATTGGGACTTCATCAAGATAAGAAGCTTTTGCACAGCAAAGGATACAGTCAACAAAACTAAAAGACAGCCTACAGAATGGGAGAAGATATTTGCAAATGGTGTATCAGATAAAGGGCTGGTTTCCAAGATCTATAAAGAACTTATTCAACTCAACACCAAAGAAACAAACAATCCAATCATGAAATGGGCAAAAGACATGAACAGAAATCTCACAGAGGAAGACATAGACATGGCCAACAAGAACATGGGAAAATGCTCCGCATCACTTGCCATCAGGGAAATACAAATCAAAACCACAATGAGATACCACCTCACACCAGTGAGAATGGGGAAAATTAACAAGGCAGGAAACCACAAATGTTGGAGAGGATGTGGAGAAAGGGGAACCCTCTTGCGCTGTTGGTGGGAATGTGAACTGGTACAGCCACTCTGGAAAACTGTGTGGAGCTTCCTCAAAAGAGTTAAAAATAGATCTGCTCTACAAGCCAGCAATTGCACTGTTGGGGATTTACCCAAAAGATACAGAGGCAGTGAAACACCCGGACACCTGCACCCCAATGTTTATAGCAGCAATGTCCACAATAGCCAAACTGGAAGGAGCCTCGTTGTCCATCGACAGATGCATGGATAAAGATGTGGTCTATGTATACAATGGAATATTACTCAGCCATTAGAAGCGACAAATACCACCATTTGCTTCGATGTGGATGGAACTGGAGCGTATTATGCTGAGTGAAATAAGTCAATCGGAGAAGGACAAACATTATAGGGTCTCATTCATTTGGGGAATATAAAAAATAGTGAAAGGGAATAAAGGAGAAAGGAGAAAAAATAAGTGGGAAATATCAGAAAGGGAGACAGAACATGAGAGACTCCTAACTCTGGGAAACAAACTAGGGGTGGTGGAAAGGGAGGTGGGGGGGGTGGGGGTGACTGGGTGGCGGGCACTGAGGTGGGCACTTGACGGGATGAGCACTGGGTGTTATTCTGTATGTTGGCAAATTGAACACCAATAAAAAAATAAATTTATTAAAAAAAAGAAAATATTCTGAGTTAACAAAACAGTGAGATGAAGCTAAAGCCCCATTTAGGAAGAATGTTATAATTTAAAAGTGTTTATTATCCTGCAGACATTAGGAGAATAATGAGAGGACATTATGGACAACTCTATAATAAAAATTTAATTTTTTTAATTTATTTTTTATGATAGAGAGAGAGAGGGAGATAGAGACGCAGGCAGAGGCAGAAGCAGGCTCATGCACCGGGAGCCCGACGTGGGATTCGATCCCGGGTCTCCAGGATCTCGCCCTGGGCCAAAGGCAGGCGCTAAACCACTGCGCCACCCAGGGATCCCTATAATAAAAATTTAGATAACATGGCCAAAGCCCTATGAAAATAAAACCCAAACTGACTAAAGAATAGAAAAATATTAAATCATTAATTTCAAACTTTCCTAAAAATGAACTCCAAGCCCAGATGGCTTCATCAACAAATTCTATCAAACATTTAAGAAATAATTCCAACGTCAGATGAACTCTATCTACCAGAAAACAGAATAATTACACACCTCACCTCATTTTTGAAGCCAGAGCCTTGACACCGAAGGCCAAGATGGAGAGTACATAAAAAAAAGTATGGGCCAATCTCACAAAGATGCAAACATCTTGAACAAAACACTGGAGGGATCCCTGGGTAGCGCAGTGGTTTGGCGCCTGCCTTTGGCCCAGGGCGCGATCCTGGAGACCCGGGATCGAATCCCACGTCGGGCTCCCGGTGCATGGAGCCTGCTTCTCCCTCTGCCTGTGTCTCTGCCTCTCTCTCTCTCTCTGTGACTATCATAAATAAATAAAAATAAAAAAAAAAACACTGGAAAGGGGAATCCAAAAATACATGAAAAGGACAATATACCATGACTTAAACTGAGTTTATTCTAGGAATCCACATTAACAGATTAATGAAAAAAAAACTCTTAAAATCACCTCAACAAGCATGCCTTGTGGCTCAGAGGGTTAAGCATCTGCCTTAGGCTCAGGTCATGATCTCCAGATCCTGGAATGGAGCCCCAAATGGGGCTCCCTGCTCAGTGGGGAACCTTCTTCTCCTTCTCCCTCTCCCCCTGCTTGTGCTCTCTCTCTCTCTCTCTCTCTCAAATGAATAAATTTTTAAAAATCTTTAAAGAGATCACCTCAATACATGTAGATTAAGTGTGTGATAACATTCAACATTCATGGTAAATACTCTTAACAAACTAGGAATAAAAAGGAACTTCCTCAATCTAATAGAAGACATCTAATTTTTAAAAATCTATAGTATACATCATAGTGACATGTTGAAAGAAAGATCAGGAATGTACAAGGATGTATACTATCGCTTCTATCCAAAACTGTGCTTAAAAGTATGTGGCAAAAAAAAAAAAAAAAAGGATGTGGCCAGTGTCATAAAGGAAGGACAAGAACTACAAGGCTGAAAGATTCAAAAGGAAGAAACAATACTGTCATTATCTGCATATGGTATGATTATGTATGTAGAAAATCCAAAAAGATGTAGAGAGACACTATTAAAAAAAGTTTAGCAAAGTTGCCAGACAAAATCATTATGCAAAAATAAATAGCACTTCAATATACCAGCTCTAAATAGAACATAAGGAGTTTTTTAAAGGTATCATTTATAATAGTACCAGGTTCCTAGGAACAGATTTAACAAGAAGATACGCATGATGACTTCTGAGCAAACTTAGATTCTTTATTGAGAAAATTTAAGCCAAATTATCAATAGAACAAACAAAACGTTGTGTGGCTTCAGCTTTTCTTCTTATGACTGTCCATCACCTAAAACATAAACATAACAGTTGGGTACATCACTTAGCAGAACTTAACTTAGACAATAATAAAAGTACACAAAGGACACTACAGCTTTGGTTTTAGAATATGAAACTAAAGCCAGAAGCCTAATGACTGCATAGACTTCTGTGTTAATGTACATTTTCAGGCATTTAAGCACTAACTTTTTAAATGCATCATTCTTTTTGGAGGTATAAAGAAGCAGATTTCTCAAACCCAGAGGAGATTAAATTCCATGAGACTATTTAAAGATAATTTTAAGTAGCATGTAAAAACTGCCAGTGATTTCAGATAAAATCAACCAAGCAGAAACTCCAAGAAGCAAAACAAGCAAGTAAACCCAGTGTCATTCAAATCCGTTCACTTGAAATAGTCTTCTAATTATCTATATTAGCTAAAATAATAATGCCATACTTGGAATTGTTTTAACTAATGAGAGGGCAAAGGACATTATTCCATTTTGTTTGTCTCTTTTATGCAAAATTATTTCACTGATCTAGTTCAACCTTTATACGGTCTGTTTATAGTATGATGGCCATTCTGTTCCATTTACATCTATTGTCCTGATGTAAGCAGTCAACATCTCTCAAGTGTTCTGGTTTGGATGATAAAAATTACATGGTTGGCAAAGGAAAAAAATTACAGATCACACTAGTTATAAAGCCACTACCATCATAGATGATATTAAAATGTGAGGGAACAATATTACCATTTCTCATCCTAGCTCACAATTTAAAAAATCAATGAACTAACCTAGAGAAGTCAAAATAGATCCATATTCTTTTTTGGCATCTAAAAGATACAGTGATTTTTGAGAAACAGATTAGGCAAATTAAAAGAAAATCAATACTATTAAGATGCCCAGAAAGCAGCATTCAAAAAAAGGCTAGGTCTAACTAGCAATATAGTGTAAATTCTATTTAAATTTAATTTGTTTCTCTTGATTTGCTAATATAGAGCTTTGGCAGGAATTGTATTTTCCAAACATGCCAAATAATTTAAAATAAGGGATGGTAAAATGCTGAAATAAGGAAAACTTATCAGAGAGGGACTGCAGTCAGCAGCAAACTATACCTTTCCCTTACCAAACAAGTTTCCAGCCAATTTTCAGGAAACCCTTTATTTCTGTTACTAATATAACCACATAAATGAAATATATTTTCTCCATCTCCTCATCAACCTTGAACCACATGTGCTCCTTCTTCTTTCTCTTGTCCAAGCTCAATATCTGGATTCTTGGTTGCTGGTTCCTTTTCTTCTGATGTTTTTTTCACTTGATTGCTTAGCCTTGGGGTAGGGTAGGTACATATAAGGGGAATTGACATTAATATTATAATGACAGAAGGCAAAAAATACATATTACATGGAGGTAATCACAAATCTGAATTTTTTCTATGCTCTTCTCTATAAAGAGTCAATAAAATTACTATTTCTATATAGAACACACCCTAAGAAAGGAGTTATCTGCAAGGACCAATAATTGTGGAAACCTTAATATTAAAGAAATAACACACATCTCAGAAAATAAGTAAAAAAGGGAGGTCATAGAGATGATTCCCATGCTCCTATCAATTTACATATCAAGGCAACAATAGAATATAAGTCTTTTTGCTCAATGTCTCTTTCATGGGATTAATTTTTCACCATTTTCAGCAAAGAAGTCCTTTAAACAACATATCTATATTGCTTTAACAACTTTTTTGATGGCTTTTCATAAAAAATTATTTCTGCCAATAGAAGTAAGAGATTAAAGCACTCACAGCCACAGGTTCATCCAGCTTAGAAGACTTTTCCATCTCCCTTCTTTGAGATCTTGATCTTACTCGCGCACTCATATTTGCACTGAAAGTTGAAAATCATTAACTAAAGAGTGCAATAAAACAGTAATTATGCTAGACTAATTTCATAGCTAACGACTGGTTGTAAGTTCTTTTTTACATTTGTTGGGATTTCCTAAATAAACCTTGAATTAATAACAACTATTTTCCAATTACATCAAATTAGGCTGTCTGCAAAACCTATGATTCACAGTAATTTGGCAGACAAGGGATTTTCAAGTACCTGAAAAAAGACATACAACTGCTTTCCTAAAAAGATTTAGTTTCACAACTGAACTCCACCCTATGGAGAGATTTTGTAATATACAGCTCTGTCCATCTCCCCACTGACCATTCTCAATTCTGTGCTCTGTCAGCAGTTTCAGGTGCCCCCAGGACTCAGATGCCTCCAATGCACTCCTTGGACTCTCCCATCTTCATCTGGCATCCTCCCCTCCACGGCCCATCATCTTTCCTTTCCAGCCCCATCTGGTGGCCATATCTGTGAGGAGGATGACCTCAAGGAACTTACTCCCCAGAGGCCAGGAATCACACTGCCCCTACCCACCTAAAGACAGGCAGCACCCTCTTCACAATCAAACCTGGGCACTGATCTATGGGCCTACTGATATAGTCTCAGCAAGAAAAAATCCACATGGTAAGATTTCACCTGCTAAGCTCAGTACCAGCAACACGCTGTACAAGCCTGCACACCAACCACCAAGGGAAAAGTGCTGGGCAATGAGCATGTGCACTACATTCCGCAATTACCCCATGAGAAGGGCTTCCATGACCCCTCACCGAGGCCTCAGCAAAAGTTTCCAAGTCTGACTTCTATCAGCAGTTCACAGTGCCTCCAAGACCCAGATACACCAAAAACACCTCGAAGATACGGCCTATCTTAATTTGAACCCCTAATCCTCACCAGCCCTCTATCTTCCCTTGTCTCAACCCACCAACAAAGACAAAAATCATGGCTGCTGCAAGACCTGTAGAAAAAAAAGCAATTACCTCGGGGATCCCTGGGTGGCTCAGCAGTTTAGCGCCTGCCTTCAGCCCAGGGCGTGATCCTGGAGTCCCGGGATCGAGTCCCGCATCGAGCTCCCTGAGTGGAGCCTGCTTTTCCCTCTGCCTGTGTCTTTGCCTCTCTCATAAATAAATAAAATCTTTAAAAATTAAAAAAAAAGCAATTACCTCAAAGACCTTCCTCCTCCAGCACAAGAAACAATAACACCTGAGGCACTTTTCTTAAGCAAACAGCTTCACAGCTCTGCACCCAGTACCAGAACACCTTGCAAAGGTCCCACACCAATGGCTGTTGGGAAGGCACGCAGCCCTGGGCATGCACATTGCCTTAGCATGTGCCACGTGGGTATGACACCCCCCCCAAACTACCCTATGTCAGTTCCTGGTGCCTCCAGGACCCAAATGCATCAAATGATACCCCAATCTTTGCCCCATCTGCCTATGAACCCCTCCCGACCACAGCCCACCATCATCATTTATTTTCCACCATGACCAGAACCATAGCAGCTGCAAAGTCCAGGAGAACAGAAAAGACATGGAAGGAGGGCTTTCCTCCTCAGAGGCAGGGAACTACATGGCCCTGACCCACCAAAGCCCACAGGCTCCCTCCTCACACTCAAACTTCTAGACATAATGATCTACAGCCCTACCAACTGAGTCTCAGACAGCAAGAAAGAACCCAGACAGAGGGGGATCCCTAGGTGGCGCAACGGTTTGGCGCCTGCCTTTGGCCCAGGGCACGATCCTGGAGACCCGGGATCGAATCCCACGTCGGGCTCCCGGTGCATGGAGCCTGCTTCTTGGAGCCTGCTTCTTCCTCTGCCTATGTCTCTGTCTCTCTCTCTCTCTCTCTCTCTCTCTCTCTCTCTCTCTCTCATAAATAAAAAAAAAGATTAGAACCCAGACAGAGGGACGCAACCCACACAACTCCACACCCGGAACACGGTACACACGTCCCATACCAACGACTGTTGGGAGGCTCACAACCCTGGACATGCACAATGCCTTAGCATGTGCCTCGTGGGTGTGACCTCCCCCTCCCCTCACCGAGGAGCACACTCAAAATTTCCAAAACTGCCTTATTTCAGTTTCTGGCGGCTTCAGGACCCAAATGCATATAATGATGCTCCAAACGTGTTCCCATCTGCCTATGACCCTTCCTACTGTCCACAGCCCACCTTCCTCACTTATTTTACACCAGGACCGAGGAACAGCAACCGCAACGCCTGCAAGAAAAAAAAAAAATCTGGAGGGCTTTTTTCCTCAGAGGCCAGGAATTGCACAGCCCTGACCCACCAAAGCCCACTGGCTCCCTCCTCACACTCAAACGTCTGGACAGACTGATATGAAGACCTACCAATTGAGTCTCAGACAGCGAGAAGGAATCCAAAATGGAGGGACACGACCCACACGTCCCACACAAATGACTGTTCGGAGGCTCGCGGCTCTGGGCATGCGCACTGCCTTAGCATGTGCCACGTGGGTATTACTTGCCCCTCCCCTCATCCAGGGGCGCACTGAAAATTCCCAGTTCTGCATGTGTCATTTCCTGATGTCTTAGGGACTCAAACACGTCCAATTATTCTCCAAGCTTTGCCACATCTTCCTGTGATCTCCCTCCTCTCCACAGCCCACCATCCTCACTTGTTCACCATGAGAAGCACCATGGCAGTCGCAATGCCTGTCAAAAGAACAAAGTCCTCAAGGGCTTTACTCTTCAGGGGCCGGCAACTACACAGCCCTGACCCATCCAATACCCACTGGCTCCCTCTGCACACTTGCCCTTAAACTTCTGGGTAGACTGCTCTGGAGACCTACATATTGAGTCTTAGACAGTGAGATAGGATCCAGACAGCAAGATGCAATCTGTACAGCACTGCACCTGGAATGCTTCACACACACCCCACACCAATGTCTGAAGGAAAAATGCTGGGTACTGGTCATGTGCAATGCATCTTGCGCATGCTCACCGTCGAATCTTTCTTATCCCTTTATCTGGAACCCCATGGAGGATTCCTGAATCTACCCTTTGTCAAAATGATCTGGTCCCTCTGGAACCCAGGTACCTCAAATAATGTCCCCAAGACTCACCCCAACTTCATCTGAAAGCTTTCACACATCTCTGGAGAGACTAAAGATTCTCTTGAGGGCCCCTGGGACAGCTGCACTGAGGAGAAAATTTAAAGGGGCAATTGGCGGGTGAAATACAGGGCTGGTAACAGTCCTAGACACACTGTCTAGGTCCCTTTGCAGACCTCCCTTTTCCTGGCCCCACCTTACAAAAGCCTTGGCAGCCACATGACCTTTAAGGAGAAAGATGATGACCTGGAGGAACTTTCTTCTCAGAGACTGCAGATCTCACTGCTACGACCTGTCTGAGTCTTGCTGGCTCCCTCTCATGCTCATGCATTCACACGTATTCATTTATACTTGCTGAGAGACAGCAGAGAGCTTGTTGGAGAATCCGAAAGGGAATAAAAATGGTATCTATCTTCTGTTGCCACTTAAACACCTATGCAGAGTCACCTTTGCCAGTCAATCCCAAGTTTTGGAGGTACATGTAACAATACCTGTGGGTATGCACAGTGATATGTGTGTCACATAGGCTGTGAATCCAGCCTTCCTGAACCAAGCAGAGACTGCTCCGTCTGAAGTAGGGCATTGTTCCCCAGTCCTGGAAGACTTGTCTTTCCCTTCTACATTCCCCAAATCTTTCAGTGTGTCTAGGACTATTACCAGCCCTGTATTTCACCCGCCAATTGGCCCTTTAAATTTTCTCCTCAGTGCAACTGTCCCAGGGACCCTCAAGAGAATCTTCAGTGTTTCCAGAGATGTGTGAAAGCTTTTAGGCTCTAAAAGTGTGCAAAGCCATTTTAGGCATGAGAGAAATCCAAAAAATGTAAAGAAAAGTATTAATAAATCTGAATATATAAGCTTTAAACCTTGCATACATCCTGTAACTCAGAACTTCTATTTCTAAAACTTTATGTTACAGAAACTCTTTTGTTTGTGAACAAAGATTTAGATACATGAGACTTCCAAAGCACCTTAATTTATAAAAGAATTTTCATGGACTTGCTGTATAAGTAAACTGCAGCACATTTGAAAAAATGTGGCCACCCATCAAAACCAATACTGCATAATGTTTGCTGTCATATTGGTGCTGCTCACACTGTTATTAACTTGAAACAGCTAGTTATGTAGCATTGTGTATGTGCAGCATGATCCCAAAAGAAGAGGGAGGCTTGGGAAAATTTCGCCTCCTGCTCCTCTCAGACAGTAAATATGCTTTGTTTTCCTGAAACCAGCATGTTCTAGGGCTCCAAAGACACATGGTACTCTAAGGGTAACACAGCAAATAAAATGCAGTCCTCAGGGTTGTAGATCTCATGCATCTGGTGAACCTCCAAAGGCTTCACCATCACCTGGGTGGTCTGTTCCTTCACTGTCGGGAAAAGAGGGAGGTGAGGGGGTGAGGGGAGGTGAGGAGGAAAACAGCAGCCCACTGCTCCTGCTTTTGGCAAACAAACGTAGGTGGATACCTATAAGACAGAAAGGAGTTTGCCCTGTCCTTCCCTATCTCCACCCCCGCCCCCAACCAAAAACCCTTTCTGTCTTTCATTCCTAGACCCTGCGGGTTACCTTTATTTTTTTTAATAATAAATTTATTTTTTATTGGTGTTCAATTTGCCAACATACAGAATAACACCCAGTGCTCATCCCGTCAAGTGCCCACCTCAGTGCCCGTCACCCATTCACCCCCACCCCCCGCCCTCCTCCCGTTCCACCACCCCTAGTTTGTTTCCCAGAGTTAGGAGTCTTTATGTTCTGTCTCCCTTTCTGATATTTCTCACACATTTCTTCTCCCTTCCCTTATATTCCCTTTCACTATTATTTATATTCCCCAAATGAATGAGAACATACACTGTTTGTCCTTCTCCGATTGACTTACTTCACTCAGCATAATACCCTCCAGTCCCATCCACGCTGAAGCAAATGGTGGGTATTTGTCGTTTCTAATGGCTGAGTAATATTCCATTGTATACATAAACCACATCTTCTTTATCCATTCATCTTTCGATGGACACCGAGGCTCCTTCCACAGTTTGGCTATTGTGGACATTGCTGCTAGAAACATCGGGGTGCAGGTGTCCCGGCGTTTCATTGCATCTGAATCTTTGGGGTAAATCCCCAACAGTGCAATTGCTGGGTCGTAGGGCAGGTCTATTTTTAACTCTTTGAGGAACCTCCACACAGTTATCCAGAGTGGCTGCACCAGTTCACATTCCCACCAACAGGGTTCCCTTTTCTCCGCATCCTCTCCAACATTTGTGGTTTCCTGCCTTGTTAATTTTCCCCATTCTCACTGGTGTGAGGTGGTATCTCATTGTGGTTTTGATTTGTATTTCCCTGATGGCAAGTGATGCAGAGCATTTTCTCATGTGCATGTTGGCCATGTCTATGTCTTCCTCTGTGAGATTTCTCTTCATGTCCTTTGCCCTTTCATGATTGGATTGTTTGTTTTAAGATTTGTGTGGAATCAGAAAAGACCCCGAATAGCCAGGGGAATTTTAAGAAAGAAAACCATATCTGGGGGCATCACAATGTCAGATTTCAGGTTGTACTACAAAGCTGTGGTCATCAAGACAGTGTGGTACTGGCACAAAAATAGACACATAGATCAATGGAACAGAATAGAGAACCCAGAAGTCGACCCTGAACTTTATGGTCAACTAATATTCGATAAAGGAGGAAAGACTATCCACTGGAAGAAAGACAGTCTCTTCAATAAATGGTGCTGGGACAATTGGACATCCACATGCAGAAGAATGAAACTAGACCACTCTCTTACACCAGACACAAAGATAAACTCAAAATGGATGAAAGATCTACATGTGAGACAAGATTCCATCAAAATCCTAGAGGAGAACACAGGCAACACCCTTTTTGAACTCGGCCACAGTAACTTCTTGCAAGATACATCCACGAAGGCAAAAGAAACAAAAGCAAAAATGAACTATTGGGACTTCATCAAGATAAGAAGCTTTTGCACAGCAAAGGATACAGTCAACAAAACTCAAAGACAACCTACAGAATGGGAGAAGATATTTGCAAATGACGTATCAGATAAAGGGCTGGTTTCCAAGATCTATAAAGAACTTATTCAACTCAACACCAAAGGAACAAACAATCCAATCATGAAATGGGTTACCTTTAGAGAAGCACGCATTCTTTGAGAGTTAGAAAAATCCCCTGTTGCAGCAGAATTGCCACATCACTCACTTTCTTCTTCCCTCTCTCCCTTACTTTCTCATACAGACAAGATGTAGAGTCAATTTAGAGCCAAGTGTAAAGAATATATAATTTTTCCTTGATCTCACCAATTAGGGTTAACCACTTTTAATATCTAATCGGGAGCTGTTCCTACAACTCAGATCTTTATGTGTATGAAATAAAGATTTATTGAGAAGGACTGAGGTCTCATACTCTTTAATCAGCATAAACTGTGGGATCTGACCTCAGTCTCATGTTTCTCCTCAGGTAAGTTCTTTTATTGGCTCTTAGTCATTTCCTGTTATCTCTTGGAAAGACTATCTACTGCCCAGCTGTCTCTCTGACCTTGGTGTTTTGTCTGTTGGCAGGAGCTATGTTCTCTGGGTAGGATCAAGTTTCTTCAGGACGCTGGGGAGATGGGGTCCTGTCTGTGTGAGAGCTTGGAGTCTAAATTGAAAAAAAATCCAATTTGCCCAGTGCTGCAAGCCTTCCGAGTAACCTCATACTCAGGCAGCATTGCACTCTGACCAAGAACAATCAGGTATTCCCAAGCCCCTGTTTGTATCATTGTGAAAATTGTAGATATTGTTTCATTTTATTTGTTTTATGGCACCAGTAAAATCTGCTCCTTACAAATAATTCAGTCACTAAAAATTGCTCGATCCCACTGTCATGTCATTATTTAAATTCCAGAATGAGGTCATCTAATTCTCAGTAAAATTAACACCTGAAAGTAATACTGTTGTTGCTAGGACCACTGAGGGGAGCCACAAGGCATCCTTTTCTGCCATTCCTGTCCTTCCCCTCTCTCACCATAGCAGAGGGAAAAGAGAACTTTTGTCCACCCATTTACCATTGTTGGAGGTGATAATCAAGAGTGGGGACTAGCGACTGTGCCCAGTCTGGAGTGAAACAGGTATCAAGGTCCAGCCCCAAGCCAAGGCCCAGGTGGCACATGGGCCAAAGGTGAGCCTTTTTCAGACTGTCCAAAAACCTGATAGGAGAAATGTGCTTTATGCTCCCTGGGTCAGCTATGAGTGAGATATATAGACACAAGGCCATGGTGAAGCTGTAGTGAGGTAGCAGCTGTGGCTATACTGTGACTGGATGATGCCCTGGCCTGTTTTCAATACC